GATAACCGTGATGATGACGATGATGGGCCACGGCTATGATGAGGATCCTTATCTTTTTCATACACGATTCAAAAGTCCCGTTAGAGCCGATTGGAGATGCAGAGGGTGCGTAGTCATCATCATCATCATGACTGTTGGTGATGCAGAGGATGCATAATGATGGTTATCATCGATGATGATAACCGTGATGATGACGATGGGGCCACGGCTATGATGAGGATCCTTATCTTTTTCATACACGATTCAAAAGTCCCGTTAGAGCCGATTGGAGATGCAGAGGGTGCATAGTCATCATTATCATCATGACTGTTGGTGATGCAGTCCAACTGAAGGGGTCGGCGGCACTGGGCGGCAGCCCTTAAATAAACTAATTAAACTAAGTATTTGCTGGGTCCTGGGCCCTTGGTGCTGAAACCCAGGTTTGGCTAGTTCAATCAGTTTCTCAGTGGGGCCAAAATAAACTAATTACAGTAACTAAACTAATTAAACGAATGATTTGGTAGGGGCCTTGGGGCTGGAACCAATTAAGAAACTAATTAGACTAAGTAAACTAATCAAATAGTTTAGTTAGTTTAATTATTCTATTTTGGGCCCCCGGTGCAAAAACCCAGCAAATCCGCCGACCCCTTTCTCCAAAGGGGAGGCGCATGGGAAGGGCTTGTATTCGTCCTTGTCTTCGTGATGTTTATCAGCACCACTGATGTTGGGTGATGGGTTCGCAGCATCCAAATCATCAGCGTTCTACGTTTCAAGCTTGCCGTTCAACCCGGCTTGGAATGCAGTGATGCATTTTAGTCATGATTGTTATGACAGCTGCTGCTCATGCAGGGGATGCATAGTGATGATTGTCATCAGGATATCATCACGGTAACTGCTGGTGATGCTGGAGATGCGTAGTGATGATCATCAGGATCATCATGATCATCATGAGCGACGCTGCATCTGATCATCATCATCACTCTTCTCATCATCATGATGGTCATCATCATCTCTTTCTTGTTCTTATATGCATTTCAAAAGTAACGTTAGATAGCATTCGCAATGCAGAGGATGCTACGATGATAGTCCTCATCCTTAACATCAGTATCATCATGGTCATCATCATCATCTCTTACTAGCCGTCCTCATCCTCATCATCATTATCATCACGGTCATCATCATCTCTTATTAGCCGGCACTGGTGATGCCGAGGATGCTACGATGATAGTTATCATCACAGTCCTCATCCTTATCATCATTATCATCACGGCCATCATCATCTCTCATTATCCGGCACTGGCGATGCCGAGGATGCTACGATGATAGTTATCATCACAGTCCTCATCCTTGTCATCATTATCATCACGGTCATCATCATCTCTTATTATGCAGCACTGGTGATGCAAAGGATGCTACGATGATAGTTATCATCACACTATCATGCTGATGGTCGTCAAAGTAACGTTAGACAGCATTGGCAATGCAAAGGATGCTACGATGATAGTTTTCATCACAGGCCTCATCCTTATCATCATTGTCATCACGGTCATCATCATCTCTTATTAGGCAGCACTGGTGATGCAAAGGATGCTACGATGATAGTTATCATCACAGTCATCATCATGATCATCCTCACCATGATGATGATGACGGTCGTCATCATCATCATCACTCTTCTCGTCATCATCATGATAGCCACCACCATCTCTTTCTTGTTCTTATATGCATTTCAAAAGTAACGTTAGACAGCATTGGCAACGCAGAGGATGCTACGATGATAATTATCATCACAGTCCTCATCCTTATTGTTATTATCATCACTGGTGATGCAAAGGATGCTACGATGATAGTTATCATCACAGTCTTCATCACGATCTTCCTCATCATCATCATGATGATGGTCGTCATCAGCATCATCATCACTCTTTTCATCATCATCCTGATGGTCATCATCATCTCTGTTATTGTTCTTATATGCATTTCAAAAGTAACGTTAGACAGCATTGGCAATGCAGAGGATGCTACGATGATAATTATCATCACAGTCCTCATCCTTGTCATCATTATCATCACGGTCATCATCATCTCTCATTAGGGAGCACTGGTGATGCAAAGGATGCTACGATGATAGTTATCATCACAGTCATCATCAGGATCTTCCTCATCATCATCAGGATGATGGTCGTCATCATCATCATCATCACTCTTCTCATCACCATTCTGATGGTCATCATCATCTCTTTCTTGTTCTTATATGCATTTCAAAAGTAACGTTAGACAGCATTGGCAATGCAGAGGATGCTACGATGATAATTATCATCACAGTCCTCATCCTTGTCATCATTATCATCACGGTCATCATCATCTCTCATTAGGGAGCACTGGTGATGCAAAGGATGCTACGATGATAGTTATCATCACAGTCATCATCAGGATCTTCCTCATCATCATCAGGATGATGGTCGTCATCATCATCATCATCACTCTTCTCATCACCATCCTGATGGTCATCATCATCTCTTTCTTGTTCTTATATGCATTTCAAAAGTAACGTTAACAGCATTGGCAATGCAGAGGATGCTACGATGATAATTATCATCACAGTCCTCATCCTTGTCATCATTATCATCACGGTCATCATCATCTCTCATTAGGGAGCACTGGTGATGCAAAGGATGCTACGATGATAGTTATCATCACAGTCATCATCAGGATCTTCCTCATCATCATCAGGATGATGGTCGTCATCATCATCATCATCACTCTTCTCATCACCATCCTGATGGTCATCATCATCTCTTTCTTGTTCTTATATGCATTTCAAAAGTAACGTTAGACAGCATTGGCAATGCAGAGGAAGCTACGATGATAATTATCATCACAGTCATCATGGTCATCATCATCTCTCATTAGCCGGCACTGGTGATGCCGAGGATGCTACGATGATATTTATCATCACAGTCCTCATCCTTATCATCATTGTCATCACGGTCATCATCATCTCTCATTCGGGAGCACTGGTGATGTAAAGGATGCTGCGATGATAGTTGTCATCACAGTCATCATCAGGATCTTCCTCATCATCATCATGATGATGGTCGTCATCAGCATCATCATCACTCTTCTCATCATCATCCTGATGGTCATCATCATCTCTTTCTTGTTCTTATATGCATTTCAAAAGTAACGATAGACAGCATTGGCAATGCAGAGGATGCTACGATGATAATGGTCATCACAGTCCTCATCCTTGTCATCATTATCATCACGGTCATCATCATCTCTCATTAGGGAGCACTGGTGATGCAAAGGATGCTGCGAAGACAGTTATCATCACAGTCATCGTCAGGATCTTCCTCATCATCATCGTGATGATGGTCGTCACCATCATCATCATCACTCTTCTCATCACCATCCTGATGGTCATCATCATCTCTTTCTTGTTCTTATATGCATTTCAAAAGTAACGTTAGACAGCATTGGCAATGCAGAGGATGCTACGATGATAACTATCATCACAGCCCTCATCCTGGAGCACTGGTGCTGCAAAGGATGCTACGATGATAGTTCATCAGGATCTTCCTCATCATCATCATGATGGTGGTCGTCATCATCATCATCATCACTCTTCTCATCACCATCCTGATGGTCAGCATCATCTCTTTCTTGTTCTTATATGCATTTCAAAAGTAACGTTAGACAGCATTGGCAATGCAGAGGATGCTACGATGGTAATTATCATCACAGTCCTCATCCTTGTCATCATTATCATCATGGTCATCATCATGTCTCATTAGCCGGCACTGGTGATGCCGAGGATGCTACGATGATAGTTATCATCACAGTCCTCATCCTTATCATCATTGTCATCAAGGTCATCATCATCTCTTATTAGGCAGCACTGGTGATGCAAAGGATGCTACGATGATAATGACAGTCATCATCAGGATCTTCCTCATCATCATCATGATGATGGTCGTCATCATCATCATCACTCTTCTCATCCTGATGGTCATCATCATCTCTTTCTTACTTTCTTATATGCATTTCAAAAGTAACGTTAAACAGCATTGGCAATGCAGAGGATGCTACGATGAAAATTATCATCACAGTCCTCACCCTTATCCTCACTATCATCATGGTCATCATCATCTCTTATTAGCCGGCACTGGTGATGCCGAGGATGCTACGATGATAGTTATCATCACGGTCATCAAACCAACGAGCTACATAAACAGGTCCGATCATTTACGCAGGACAACCATGTTTGTAGCATCCAAAAGGAACGTGTTGCTTGTGCTCTGTTAGCGGCTGTGTTTGTTTGAGGGTGCCCTTCTTTTGGGTTGCCTTAAAGGCAAGCCAAAAAGAAGCCAGCCCTCTTTGGAGTACTTAACTGTATGGGGTCGGCGGCACTGGGCGGCAGCCCTTAAATAATTACTTAAATTAGTTCAATTAATTTCTCAGGGTGCCCAAAACAAACTAATTAAACTAATTACACTAATTATTTGCTGGGTCCTTGGCCCTTGGTGCAGAAACCCAGCAAATAATTAGTTTAATTAGTTTAATCAGGGGGCCCAAAATAAACAACTAATTAAACAAATTATTTACTGAGTCCTGGGCCCTTGGTGCAGAAACCCGGCAAATAATTAGTTTAATTAGTGTAATTAGCTTCCCAGGGGGCCAAAAATAGACTAATCAAACTAATTAAACTAATTGATTAGTTTTATTAGTTTAATTTGTTTAATTAGTTATATTAGTTTCTTAATTGGTTCCAGCCCCAAGGGCCCAGGACCCAGCAAATAATTAGTTTAATTAGTTTTTCAGTGGGGTCCAAAATAGACTAATTAAACTAATTAAACTAATTATTTCGTGGGTTGCAGCCCCAATGGCCCAGAACTCAGCAATTCATTAGTTTAATTACTTACATTGTTCCCTTACTTAAACTAATTATTTGTTAGGAAATCAGCGCCCCTAATAGGGCAGGAAATACCCTCTTGCTTCCCCCCCCCCCCCCCGCCCGCCTGGCCGCCCGCTTCAAACCAAGCCAACGGGACTCGAGGCGCCGAACGGGGCGCCGTCGGCTCCATGGGCGGAAACGCGAGCTGCGCCATCTCGCTGGAGCCGAAGCGAAGGCTTCGAAGCCAAGGTGTTGCGGGGGTTTCTCATCGAGTGTCCAAACAAGACCCCAAGAAATGACATCAATGGCCTGGCTGTGCTCAACGGAAAAAATAAGACGCTCAAATGGGTGCATCCTTTTTGCAGCCCGAGGAGGTTGGACCCTGTTACGCCCCAAACCGTCAACTATCAAGGGAGAGACTTGCCCTCTGATCCATGAGACATCGCCCCGACTTGGTTCAACTGCCAATGTCAACCTTCCCCCCTGGCGGGGATGTCAGAAAAACACAGGGTCTTTTGACCATTAAGGCTTTTCCCGCAAAACCACGGGCAAAGACGAGTGTGTTGTGATTCCTGACGATTTGCTTTCAGGAGCCGCATCTGGGACATTAGGAGACCGAGTAAATGCGCACGTGCGCCCGAGCTTCAACTCGTGCTTCCCCTTCGAACACCAATGAACATCACCTGCCAATAGACTTCATTTTTGGCCTGGCCCAAGTGTTCCAAAGGAAGCGATGGGACTGCGCATGGGACGCGATGCGCCCCCAAGGCGCGAAATTTGTTCCATCCGAGTCCGCGGGCTCGTGCTCGTTCGAGCTCAAGCCCACCCCGAGGCCCCGAGGCGATCATGTTGCATTTATGTTTCGCATGCATTGGTTGTGCCATGTTATATGCGCTTTTTGCTTTTGAGGCAATTCAGTCAATCTTGTTCCCCATGCAGCATCCAAAACAGGCATCACAACCAATGCAGGAAAGGACATCCAAACAGAACTGCATGTCACAATGCACACAGAAGGCACAGAACAAAACAGCACACAGTATGCATTGCACACAAACAATACACACAAAGACCCAGAATAGTACAGCACGCATGTTGAAGCAAGCACAACAACGCAGTTTGCATGTGCATGCATGAAGTAAGCGTTTGTCCAAAATGCTGCAACGATCTTGCTAAATGCATGCCCAATGCAGGCAACTTGCATGGTGGTGAAGCTACAAAACATCCAAACAGAACGGCATGCCAAAATGCAAACAAATGGCACAGAACAAGACAGTACGCATTTTGCATGCGCAATCTTTGCCCTGCTCCAAAATTCATGCAATTTACATGCAAACTGTGAGAGGACACAGTAGCGATATTGCACCCATAAATGCATAACCAATGCATACAAAGCATAAATGCAAAATGCAGCAAACACAAGAACACAAGTGTATGCTGCAGCCTGGTGCATGCATGAAGTATGCCCAAAAACACATAACCAATGCATGCAAATTCATGTGCATACAACATCCCAAAAATAAAGGCAACATGTCCTACCCAAGGCAAGCACACAAAATCCAAGCAGAACAGCATGCCGAAATGCACAGAAAACACGGAACAAGACAGCACTCATTTTGCACTTGCAATTTTTGCCCACAATGCTCCAAACTTAATGCAGTATACGTGCAAAATGTAGGCAAACACAGCAGCGATTTTGCAGGCCTCGTGCATGCATGAAGTACGCGCAAAAATGCATAACCAATGCATGCAAACTACGCATGCATACAACGCCCCAAAAAGAAAGGCAGCACGTCCTAGCCGATGAACGTACAAAAACTCCAAACAGAACGGTATGCCAAAATGCACACGAAAGTCACAGAACAAGACAGCGCGCATTTTGCATGCGTAATCTTTGCCCTAAATGCTCCAAATTCATGAAATACACATGACATATGCTGGCTGTATGCTGTCGCTTTACGTTGTTGCCGTGCTGGTTTGCAGATTGGTTCAAATCGAAACGACGTTTGCTTCAAAGTACACTGCGAAACCTCCGCAAATTCGCCAACTGGGCGAGGCTTGGCCCGAAAGGGTCCCTAAATTTGCGTAAATTTGATGCTGGGACCCCTGAAAATGTGCTCGTTGGGTTTTGGTGCAATTGTCTAAAGTGTGCGCAGTTGTCTTGGAACTGGACCAAACTGATCCGCAAAAAGCGCACACGTTTTGCCAACAATGAAGGCAACCCAGAAGGCCAAACGGCCAGAATGGCAAGTCAAGTCTGGCAACAAAGAGCCAAATATAACCAACTGGGGGCTGTGGAGCCCTGAACATGATGGTTTTGGTTTGGTGTTGTCCAAGTTCTGTTTCTGGTGGTAGGACCCAAGGCGGCCTGCGGTTCTGCGCGCTGCGCCTCCCTCTCCCCCGCGCGCTGAGAACGCGCAGCCGCGCGTTCTGGCGCGAAATTCTTGAACCTGCAGGAAGGGGCAGCGGAAAGGCCTTGGGAGCTGTGTGGCGCCCCAAGAATCCAAAGATTCTTAGCCTCTCAAAAACAGGGCTAGGGCTCTGGGAACTTGTCTGAAGTGCGAAACCCAACCTCCTTGTCTTTTGGTCTTTGCTCCAGGCTTTCGTCATGTTCTCCAAGTCTGGAGGGTTCAAAAAGGTCAACTCGAAAAGCAACCAAGGCCGTCCAACTGGAGCGCCTGAAATGGCCGTGTTTGCGAAAGGGGGGCCTTTGAAAAGAAACAGGTGAATATGGTCGCAACTTGTCGTCCATGTTTTTTTTTGTCTTAACATACCTAAAATGGGTGTACCCATTTTTTCAGGGGACCCACCAAATAGTAGGTTGTTGTTTTGGTGTTCGCTTGAAGCCGCTAAAAAGGAAAAAAGAGACACACACACACACATGACGTTACATCTGGGCGGATCCACAGTCATCTTTGCCAGGGCCAGGTCAAACCGAGCAAACGGAAACGGGACCCAAATTGGACCCCTTGCAACAGCATTATGTTTTGCCAATATAGCAAAAGACAAATGATTGAAAACCACGGTGCCTGTCCCACAACTGCCCTTCAAGGCTGGGGTTTTCTGTCAAACTCCTCAAAAGCGCAAATGGCTTCAAGAAATCGGAAGGCCCAGAGCAAAACCGAAATGAGCAGAACATGCTAATGGAAGTCCTCCGAAGCAAAACCACCCACAGACCCACACCCCTCCATTGATCCTGGAGGGGTTTGGGGGTCTGAACCATGGCTTCTTGAGGGCCCTACATAAATCTGGAGCGTCTGGATCGCACAGCTGGAAAGCTACTGCCACATAAATCTGGAGTGTCTGGATCGCACAGCTGGAAAGCTACTGACACATTTGCACATTTGCCTGTTCTCCACCTGAGGCCATCGCTAGAATCCCAGCACCGCCCGCCTCTTCTCCTCGTTGCGGCGGCGCAAACAGGTCCGGTTGTGCAACCTAATCTGGGCAGCCTCCAAGAGAACAAAGAAATTAAATTCTATCCTAAGCTCCTTTGCAATCCCGTCCATAAGCTCATCTTTAAACCCATCTGAACAGGACAAACAACTGGCTGAACTTGTTCAGAAGGAGACGCGCGCGTTGAAACCCGCCCGAAACGGAGAACACCACACAAGTCTAAGACCATCCAAAGAGGAGAAACACAAGTTGAGAACCATCCAGAGAGGACAAAAACAAGCTGAACACCATCCAAAGAGGAAAACAAAAGTTGAATACCATCCGGAGATAGAGAGGTTGGGGAAGTCAAGAGTTGGAAACCACTCCGGATACTATGCTCCTGCTGGAAGAACTCCACCTTGAACTTCTCCCCCGCCCCGGATCACCCAACTCTTCTCCTGTCGCTGGGGGCAAACCGCGACACCGAAGTTGATTCCAATGACTACTTCTACCTCTGGAAAAAACGTGTCCAGAACCATGGTGATGTTTGATCCCCAGGATGCATTTTCCAGCCCTCGCGACTCCCAGCTGTCACAAAGCAGGCACTGGACAAACCAGTTGAGGGCGTGGGGGGGGGTGGTGGTTGCTAAGCAGTTTGAACTTTAGCGGCGAGGTTCGGTGAAGTGCAACTAGGAACTCCTCAGTTTCAGTCAGGCGCAACTCCTTTCCCCAAGGTTGGGCTTTTCTCCCAAAGCAACCAAAAGGCGCCCAAACTCTATTTTTTGGCTCTGGGTTGTACGTATCGATCTTGGATGCTGCCGGCATGCCAGCGCAAACGCAAGCCACCGAGAGAGCGCTGCCCAGCAGTATGCTTGCACATAGCTGATGACTACTCTTCAGCGGTGTCGATGAGTGCGCGGCCTGTCTTGGTCAGTCCTGGTGAAACGATCCTGTGCCAGTCCTTCCGAAAAGCCTCCAAGCTTTCGGGCATGTGCTTGTGTGCCACCAGCACAAGAGCCGCATTCGCCTTTGGAATGTCGGTGGATGAAACTCTGCCCTCAGCCTTACAGTTGTCTGCTCTGTCTGCTGCTGGTAGCTCGACCATGGTCAAACGTATCAAACGAGTCTCTGGGTTGCCTCTTGTCTGCTCCGAAGCATGTGCGACAATTGCGCGGACGTTTCCGCCGGGACTTACGCTCCAGCGTTGCTCTCAAAATGGCGCAATGTCCCAGTGACCTTGCCAAGCAAAACTGTCTTCCGATATGCTGTAGTCCATGGCTCCAGAAGCGCTCAATTCAGTAGACTCGCCAAACCTATTATCGGCAGCTGGGGGACTAATGCAGAAAAGGCAAACCCTGGCCAGCATATGCATGGGAATAGCCTCTATGTTGAAGCAGCAACTAGAGTGCCATCGCATCCTCTCAGGTCCTTTGTTTTTTTGGGGATGAAACCTGGGTAACCTGGGTAGGATCCGGACAGCCCAGACTGGACCCTGTGGAATATTCTTACATGTGGTGGCTGGGAAGCGACCGAAAGTCAGGGCAGCGTCCAATGAGTTGGGCTCGTGTGAAGAACAAGGGGTTCGGAATTGAAGTCTCGCTTGACATTGACAGGCATCTCCGTCATGTTTCACATTCTCCCACTTCTCCCTCTTCTTATGCCCTTCTTGTGCCCTATCATGGGCGAGCTGGCGCACGTGGGCGCCGGAGCAAACATGCAAGCACTGCAAGCAGAAGTAGAGGCTTTCTTGCGTGCAAGCCCTGGCCAAGTTCTACAGCACCCAAGAGCCCCCAATAGTTGACTGAGGATTGGCATGTAAAGCGTCGGGGCAATTCTTCTGCCAGCACACTAAATTGCCATAACTGAGCATTTGCTGCAGGCAGGGCTCAACAAGGCGCGTCATCTGCAAAGTGGCTACTCACAGCGGAAAGCTGCGTGGCACTTGCTGTTGAAGGTGGCGCTCAGCTACTGTGGCGCTCACGCGCTCAAGCATTCACGTGCAGAGACAAGCAAAGCCGTGGCCGCTATTGGACTGGTCCACTGGATAGAACCGAAGAATATCCACCGCTTCGCTCGCGCCGCAGCCGCAAGGGGGGTGTCAGCGGCCAACTCGTTGCTTTTGACAGCCGCTGGTTGAATCAGCAACAACAACTCAAGTTGCGTTTGCGACGACAGCTGATAGCTGCTAGCTGCGTCTGCGACGACTCCCTTGAGCATTGCGTGACTGAAGGAGGTGAGGCCACATGACTCAGTCTCATATGAGCGTGTAACTGCAGATCAAGCAAGCGCACGAGGAGATGGACAGCTGTGACTTGGAATCGGCATGCTCCAAATAAGCGTAACCTCCCTGCCAGGCCAAAAAAGCCGGCAAACTGCAAGGCTGCTTCAAGCCCAGTGAAGCCCCGCCTTCTGGCAACCTGCAAGCCAAGAGGGCACCATCTGCAAGAGCTCTCATTGGACTTACTGGGAAATAGATGGATACTCACGCTCGAGCCAGTTTCTAACGAGCCACCGTGGCCTTTGCTGTGTGATTCTGCAGGCTCCCAAATGTGCCCGCATGACTCAGTCTGATATGAGCGTGTAACTGCAGATGAAGCAAGCGCACAAGGAGATGGACAGCTGTGACTTGGAATCGGCATGGCTCCAAACAGGCGTAACCTCCCTGCCAGGCCAAAACAGCCGGCAAACTGCAAGGCTGCTTCAAGCCCAGTGAAGCCCCGCCTTCTGGCAACCTGCAAGCCAAGATGGCCCCATCTGCAAGAGCATGCATGGGACTTGCAGGGAAATGGATGGCTACTGACACTCGAGCTGAGCCCAGATGGGCAAAAGTTCAAGTTTCTACCGAGCCAACGTGGCCTTTGCTCTGTGATTCTGCGGGCTCCCAAATACGCACGCAAGTGGCATGGAAAAACCTTGCAACTGCAAATAACGCAAGCGCACACAGAGATGGATAGCTGTGACTTGGAATCGGCATGGCTCCAAATAACCTCCCTGCCAGGCCAAAAAAGCCGGCAAACTGCAAGGCTGCTTCAAGCCCAGTGAAGCCCCGCCTTCTGGCAACCTGCAAGCCAAGATGGCCCCATCTGCAAGAGCATGCATGGGACTTGCAGGGAAATGGTTGCCTACTGACACTCGAGCTGAGCCCAAATGGGCAAAAGTTCAACCAAGTTTCTACCGAGCCAACGTGGCCTTTGCTCTGTGATTCTGCGGGCTCCGAAATGCGCACGCAAGTGGCATGGAACAACCACATGTCTCATGCTGATATGAGCTTGCAACTGCAAATAACGCAAGCGCACACGGAGATGGATGGCTGTGACTTGGAATCGGCATGGCTCCAAACAGGCGTAACCTCCCTGCCAGGCCAAAAAAGCCGGCAAACTGCAAGGCTGCTTTAAGCCCAGTGAAGCCCCGCCTTCTGGCAACCTGCAAGCCAAGATGGCCCCATCTGCAAGAGCATGCATGGGACTTGCAGGGAAATGGATGCCTACTGACACTCGAGCGTTGCCCAGATGTTGCTAACGGCCAGTTTCGCGCTCGCGGGCCCCCAAGTTTCTGGGAAACAGCATGCCCCCAACATGGGATTTGCCAAGTAGACACAAACGGCAGGCCTTTTGAAGAGAGGAAAGCTCCAGCGAACGTCACAAGTACTCCTGAGAAGGAGCCTGCAGTCTTGCAACCAGGTCAGACAAGCATCAGAAACGCAATTGCTATCACGATGGCACTGCTTGTGGCAAACTCTGTTGTCGCGTAGCCCAGTCTCCAGTCTGTGAGTGAGAGAGCACGGTCTGCTTGGTGATCGACGCATCACCTTTTCGATACTCCATGTAGATTCCCGAAAAGATGCGCTTCAGGTGGATAACAGGAGTTACTTGTCAAAAGTCACAAACATTGGGGAGACTAACTGTCCGTCGCCGGTGACGAGCGCTCGCACCAGTGCAACAGGTAGCGCTACACGTTTGTTCTCACAAGTGTAATTAGCGCGTGTGCAAGACAAAAAGCATGGTAGCTCGCGTTTCACCACTTGGCTGTAAACATCAGCTGTCTGAGACTACCTGCTGCTGTCATACAGCTTTCTGTCATACAGCTTGTCATCTGTGACTCACGTCCGCTTTTGCTTGAAAAAACGGCTCAATTCATTGCCCGGGAACTGAGAACTTGCTCTTGCTTTGCGAGCAAAACTAAGCCACAAACGGCAAAGGATAAATTGGACATTGACACCAACGCATTGTCGGCCGCAAGGCTGCTCGTTGACATTGGGCAGTGTGACTGAAACAAGCAAGCCGGAAAAAATCGAACAGCGTGTGTTTTGCCTTGCAGCTTGCCAGTGGCAAAAGGTAGTGAACTGAGCTTGGATGATGCCATTGAAGCTACGCGATGTTGCGCAACATCGTTTGCGTGCAAGCTTCCAATTGAGCTGTGCAATGCAACAACCTTCTCAGCAGCTGCCATCACTAAAGCATAGCGCATGACTACTTGGAGTGTTCGTATATATGACTCGGTATCTGAACTAGGCAACGCCGCGCATGCAACTATTGACGAATCTCCCGCTGCTGGCAGCGTGATTCCACGGATTTGCGGCAATGCGCTGTCAGTAAGTCGCACCAAGCCCACTTGACGTTCCACGCTATGCTGACGTGGCCTCAACGGATCTTGCAATAGCGGCCTCCCCACAGACTCCAGCTGCAACCACTGCTAGCGAAAGTTGCGGGGCCAAGCAACTCCCAATGCAAAATCCGTGACTATGGAGATGCAAAGCATGCTGCGCGAGAAAGCCAACATAGCCCAACACACCTAAGTCCCACGAAGCCCGCTTCAAGACAATCACTTCATGGCCTGGTGCGCGAATGCGAGACTGCCAACTCAGGGAGGAGCTTTGGTAGGAGGCGCTGACGTTGAGGCAGCTGCACACAGGGCAAACAAAACGAAACCAGCCAGTGCTGGAGTCAGAGAGCGGACAGCTGCACGAAGCACTCAACAGAATCTTTGAGCTAAGCAGTCTCTGACGATGTTGGCACCACATCGCGATGCGGCTGTTGGTGACAATGTTGATGCAGCAAGGCTGTGGCTGGGTGCGACGACGAAAGCTTGGAGGATATACGTCTAATGCCAGGAACACCAGAACAGGTAGGAATGCATTCAAGGCCATGCGTGTGTCCGCCAAAGGCCCCGCTATTGGAGTATAGCAGCAAGATCGGCGCGACCGGCATGACCAAACGTACAACGCCTTTGCGGGTTGGAGGTTTCGTCTCAGCAGCCTGACTGAGCGCTTGCCCGCGTCCTGCAAGGGGATTGCAATGAGGGAAAGTGAGCCAAACACAGCACAAGCATATGCTTTGCGCAGTGCTAAATTTTGGACGATGTTTACGGCCCGTCATTCTGCAGGCCCGCGACACCGGCAGCAGTTGCAACTTGAACGCGCTGCTTGGAGCTTCCGGAGCCGCTTGGAGCTTGGCAGCCAAGCACTACAAGTAGCGCTGCGTGACCGGCTCTCGCTTCTCTGGAAAGCCCAAATGTCTCAAGCCAGCTGCGCGTTCCAGCCAGTGTTGCTGTCCACATGCTGGCTGTCAGGCCGAGACCATTCGGTGGCTGAAACTCAAAGTGGACCGTTCGGCGAGCAAAGCGTGAAGGCTTGTGCTGGAGGTGCTGGTTGAGAGAGGCCGGTCTTGCCTCTCAAGCAAGTCGTGTCAACACCTGCTCTTGCTAGCAGCACTTTGCAGCTGCAGACAGAAAGTTGATGGCTCTCCGACAGCGTGTGCCGGCCCACAGCATGTCTGCGAAACTCTCAAAGGAAATTACTTCACGGCCTCCGCACTTCCCGCTTGCACTTGCATGGCTGAGCATGTGCGGGCCACTGCGCCCGAGCTGGGATCTCTCAGCTCGGGCAATGAAGTGCCCCGGGCTGGTTGGCAATGGAGGCCGTGCTGAGCTGCAAAGTTCCTTGCCCAGCTGACATGCGTCTTGAGAGGGGCCACGCCCTTGTCGCTATTCATCGCAAACTGGCAAGATCAAAAATGCTGGAGCTGCTATATCCAGAGCCGCTACAAACTGATCGCAAAAAGGGACATCCTTGGGTTGAATGCACATCTCTGCGTCGTGCACAAGGAGTCTCTGACTCAAACCTGCGTGCTGCAGGTAAACTTCTGCGCTTGGGGCTTCATGCTGCACATCGCTACAGCACTCCAGAAAGGTCGGCGGAGTGGGTGGATTTTAGGTGGCTCTTGCTGGCATAGCAGCGGCTGAAATGCTGCCCTGGTGCATGGAATGTCCACCCCTACGACCTTAAGTCGGGAGTGGCATCCCCAACACTCACAAACCAATCGCGACGTAACCCCTTCCAAATGTTAAAGCACACGGCTTGGAATCAGATAGCTGCCCGCCGGCAAGGGGGATTCGCCTGAAAGGGCATGCGCGCATTCCCAAAGTTTGGGGAGAAAGCCTTGCGAAGTCTGCGAAAGCCGAGTCACGGGCAGCCATTGCCTTCCTCACTGCCCTGAAACGCAGTGGAGGAGTGCTCCGAACTCGCACTTCCGGTAAGATTGAAGTATGTTTGGTGTACCTGCATGCCGCTGGCTGGACCAGGTGATAAACCACATCCGAAATCCACGCATTGAAACCACCAGGAGTCAACTGCACGGATCTAAGGCTTAAATCACCTTTGGACTGGAAACATTCAGCAAGGATAACTCAGACTTTGCAACTCTTGTTTGTGCACAGCCTCGGAGTCCGAATCAACACATGAAAGCAGAAACATATGCATGAGCTGGAAGCTGCAAGAACAAAGCAGCGGACTCGGACATGCACACAAATGGCACCCGGCGAGCATACATGCGGGCATGGCCAAAACCATCCCCTTGCTTGCGCAATTTCCCGACCAAAACCTCGGAGCTTGTGACGTGAAACGACTGGCCGATTGCCTTGACGTGGGACGGCGCGGGTAACGCGCCTTTGTGGCTTTGGTTGTGTGTGGCGCAAAACAGGTTACAGGTTGTGCCGGGCAGGATCGGGCGTTGGAGGCATGACGAGGGCGACTTCAAAGGCCGTGCCCGGCCCACCTGCCCTAGCAGGCTTCAAGCCCCACAGCCAATTCAAAGGCATATGCTTCCTTCAGACAGTCCATGAGACAACAGGTGATGGCCTTAATGGCTGTACAGAAAGAGCACCTCAAGGGTTCTTCGATTTTGGTGGACAAAGTCATGTTTTGAATGGCAGATATGTAGTCTTTGTTGGGAGCCGTGCTTGGTCATTGCCCTACCCTGTCGCCATGCTCGGGGCTTCCAGCCAACTAACTGGGGGGGGGGGGGGGTCGCAGACTTGAGAGTCACGCCACGCCTTGCTTGTGCTGCAGGTGGCGGCCTGCAACAGTACGGGTCAAGTAGTCACATACCTGGATCCTCCAAGGTGTGCTTTTTTGGCGCTCTTTCGAGAAAAAATGCTTGTTGGCTGAGAAAGCGCTTTTGCTAGCTGCAGGCTTTTCCTATGTTTTCTTGATTGGGCTTGGGAGCTCTTCAAGCCCCCTGTGGAAAAGCGTTTTTCCTCCGTCAAAAAGCGCTGTTACCGGACCAAACGGTGCTTTTTCTGACACTCTTCTCGGCAATCTTGAAAGAGAGCAGTTGTTGGGTCAAGAAGCGCTTTTTACACACGAAACAGCGGACATGGTTGCTTTTTCGCCAAACGGCGGAAATTTTGCACACCCGGAGGGCCCATATGCTCCAACCAGGCTGTCACGCTGGGCCATGCCACAAAAGCCGGGGCAGTGTCTGATAAGGGGTATGGGGAAGCAAGAGGGTGAGAAAGAGAGCATGTGCGAACATTCTCCGTGCTCCACCTTCTCTGCCCAGTCCTGTAAGTGTAATATAATACAAATGAGAGTAATATGACACGTGCTCTGCCTTCTGTTTTCCGACTTAGGAGTTGCAAGGCTTCCTGCAAGCAAGAATTGTTGACCACTCCAGCTTTGAGAGCTGCGCGCTTTGCGCGACGAATGGAACAGAAGGACTTGGGCTTCACCTCCAAGCTCACCGGATTCACTCGCATCGCTAGTCTAGGCGCAGGATTTGCACAGATGTTCAAATGACTTTGTACCTAGTGTTCAAATCCTAGAGCAAGCAGAAGCTGGCAAGCTATGCCCGCAAGCAAGCACGAGGGCAAACAAGCTTGCCAGGGCGCCGAAAGGGCTTCCTTGAAGGTCACGGCGGTTGCTGGTGTGATCCTACACCAACTTTCACAACAAATGCTCTTCGGGAACGCCGCAGATCTTGCGCAGGGCTGCACCCTCAGTCGGCATTCAGCTGAGGCTGCTCAAGTTTTACAAACGTGCTTGTGAGCCGCGGTTTACAGGCGCAGCTTTCCGTGGCCGGCCGAGCTGCTTTGCGGGTATGCCCACACAACGAAATCACGGGAGGAACACGGGAGAGCCAGTGCCAGCTGAACAGCCAAAGCCATGCTAAATCGAGGCTGGCACGAGCACCTTTAAAGGGAATATCAATAAAGTAGCTACTCGCATTGTGTGAGTGGCACTACGAACAGACTTTGTTTACGCATACCCACTTGCATGAGTGCAAGCCATGCTTCTTGGAAAACAATTGAGATATTGCCTGCTGGTAGCTGATAGTTTCGAATGTGCAAGACGGCCATCCACGAAACACGCGCCTTCAAGCTTGCGTCGCTTTGCCCCGAGCGTACTGCGGAAGGCCCACAAAAGCTTCATAGAAACATGCTCACGGCAGGTAGCCTTCACACGTCGGTGTGAAAGCTTCCCGGATGCGTCTCGTATACGTCCAATCAAATTAAGCGGGAATGAACACCACCACTCAGGTGAGCCGCAATCAAGCTCCCATGAAGCTTAGCTTTGGAGCGCCAAAATGGAATTCCGCGGAAAGGTTTGTGCAGCGCGCGGAAGCTCAAAGTTCGTTCTCGCGGAAGGCCGCGGAAGTTCTGATCTGTTTGCTCTGGGCCAGACTTTTGCCACATTTTGCCACCAACCTCAGAAATTGAAAGGTTTGGGTGAGGCACAACTCTAGGCCTGAGATAGCTGCTTTGCCAGAGATACCTGGAAAGCCTGGCGGTGCTGAATTTCTGCCGCTGATTAAAATTGCACTATGTTTCGCCGTTGCTGCAACAAAACGCTTTTGTCCCCCAAAATGCCGTTGGAGCAATTCGTCAATATTCAAGGACTGCTGTGAACGGCCAAAACACCGTTTGATAGCCAAAAAACGGCGTTTGATTGGCGAAAAACGGCGTTGGTAAAAATCAGTCGACCAGCTTGACCTTGCAAAAAGTCAGTTTCTCCCAAAAACGCCTGAAGGCAGAAATTCATGTTCCCAGACTGAAAAAGCGGTTTTCGTTCAAAAGGCGGACATTTTACACACCTTGGGATTCCCAGGTATCTTCATATTGGGTGAGAAGTCTTCTGACGCCTGGGTCCGGGTTTCGCCTTCGGGGTCAAGGCAAAACGGTGCAACAACGCACAGATTCCGCGACCAGGTGCGGGAGGGGAAGCCGGGTCGGACCGGCGTGTGACTGAAAGGCACCAATTGTTCCATGAAAGTTTCTCAAAAGATGGAAGTCCACAAAATGGTCAGTTTCCTTTTGGTGTCCCAAGTGCCCACAACACCATTGTGCTCTCATTTGACATCCTTAGGGCAGGTCGTGGACCCAGGGTTTGCCAGTCACAACACCTCAGAAGGGTGCTCGTTTGTTTCTCCGAAAGTCACGAGTTGGTTTGTGGCTATCCGATCGCAAGGCCATACAAAGCATCCGAACGGCTCCAAGAACTCCAGACCGTTTGCTCTCCGCAAGTGTCCTTGCGGGCCATGGGCGGAACGGGTCGATACCAATGTTACCAACTGACCTTCTCGGAGCTACGGCACACGAGTCAAGTGAGCCCGACCTTGGGACCTTGGGCGGCAATGGGTGCGTCGAACCGCAAGACTTGGGATTGTGAGGCTGGGGCACCTCAAGGCCAGCAATCTCCTAGAGAAGCTACGAAAACGGCATATCTCTCTCTGAATGGAGCATGGGCCGGCGTCTTCAGTGGCACGGGCCTCCGGCAAGTTGCCTGCTGGGTGCCAAGGGAACTTGGGCAACTTGTGGTCACTATCCCTCCGCTACATGCAGCTAAGCGCTGCAGTGGTTGAGTGCCAAGCT